ATCGTGCACGCGGCGCGCACACACCTAATGGAATGGATATGAGCAACACATCTCGAAGAACAACAGTTACAACGGTGAGTAACCGTCTTTTTTCTATCTATGTACAGTCATGAGTTCATGACACACACACAATCCCTATTTGCTGTATAAATCAAGGATTGCACAACTAGAGTACCTGTCTGGGGTAAAAATATGCATTTGCAAAACTAAAACATGACTTGAGGCTGGCTGAAAATTTGTCCTTAAGCATCCTCCAGAACATTACGGGAGGGTGGGGGGAGGAGGGGAGCAGCTGAATGTGAACACATTGGATGAAGATATAGTTGCACTGCTGAGCTATAGCAACATGGATGAAATGCATTTTAAGTTGTAGTTCCCTTCTATGCTATCCCTTTATTTATTTTTGACAGGGAAATGGTAACTCAGTACTGTAATGAATAGGGTCTTGCATAAATTCATCTGCAAAAATAAGATCAGCTTTTGGATGGCAAAAGAGGCATTTGCCTGGATCAATATTTCATTTTTTCATGGAATAGCATCTGTGATTTAATGTGGCTAAAGAGCCACATAACATGTTAGATTTTGTTTTTCAATTGTTGCTTACTGCTACGGTCAATGTATGTCAGATTTTGTTTATTAATTCATGGCTTAGTTCTACAGCTATTTCAGAGCAGAATGAGAGCATGGAATGACTCGATTGTTTTTTCCTTCAAATTAAAAAAAATTGTCATGAAAAGAAGGAATTAGTAACACTGTTTAAGATTACACAAAATGCAAACAGGGATTTTGCATCGTTCCATATTCTGTTCTTCCAGTGATCCTCAATCCTTTCTGGCTGTATGCCCATACGTTCCAGTCCTGGACATCTTTTGAATAGAGTCTGCCAATAATACCAGACTGTGAGGTGGGTCTGTGATATGGGTAAATATCCACTATGCACACCACTAACTTGATTTTTGTGTGAGCTCTACACGTGATTTGAATTCAGAACGGGAAAGGATATCTACCCATTGTGCCATTAGATTAGTTTTTAAATGAAACATGACCATAAGTACATTTAAGGGATATGCAGAACTCCTTCTCAAGTTGAGAAACACAAATGCTTTAAAATGAAGCTACATTGTGCATAAAAGGAATGAGGCTGAAGCCAAGGAGAGAGCTATGGAGTGATGAAGTATATGTGAATCATCACTGTAGAGGTATTTATTAAATCCATACGAATAGCGGAGATCATCTAAAGATGGGGCATAAAGGAAGAAAAATGGGGGCTAAGAACACAAGGGGATTGGAGTGGAGGAATAGCTGCCAAAATCTGAAAGGTCAGTGAGATAAAAGGAAAGGAAAGAGAAGACAGTGTCAGTAAAGAATAGAATTTTGTAATGGATTGTTACCAGTTTGAGGTCAATGGGAATTGAAGAGGCTTAACCCCTCACAGGAGGAGCTCAGCACCTGGCAGAACTGGCGACCCTGTGGGGAAAACACTCGATTTTTCAGAGGAACTTTGATACTCAAATGCACATTGTCTGCTGCTCTATACTATCTGAATATTGTTCAGGTACAGTTCTGGTTCAGGTAAATGGAATGTTACTGACCTTGTTGCTTTGGTTCTGGTTGTGCAGTATTATCAGTCTCGCCTTTCTGTGGCTCATTTTTGTTTTTATTTTCATCCTGAAGGAAGCAAACAGAAGAATTTAAGATGTATTTTAGGAAAAAATATGGTTCAGGCATAAAAAAGTGTGAAAATTCATTACTTAACTGCATTTGTCTCTTTTAACAATCTTTACTCCTATAATATTTCTTTTCACTATTGATGTATGCATGATGTATGGGTATATATATGTATCTCACACACACACACACACACACACAGCCCCCCCAAATACTAGAACATATATTTATATGCGTACTTGAAGGTATATTATATATATATATATATATATATATATATATATATATATATATAGAGAGAGAGAGAGAGAGAGAGAGAGAGAGAGAGAGAGAGAGAGAGAGAGAGAG